TCCTAGTCCAAAAGACTTGAAACCAAGCTTTTGATTTCAAATCAAAAAATGATCAACAAATCGTGCTTCTGGCAGCTTCTGTTGACACAGCTGATTGCAGCACATTTTTACTAAGGGAGAGCCCAAGTTGCCAATACATATTTAATGTAGTCTTTGGTTGGTACAAAACTAACAAAATTACCTTGAATTATTGATTGCTAATTTCTTGCATTAGGTAAATGTTTATGATTAAAATTCATCATAGAAACTGTATTTCCATAATTCCATGTTGAATTAAAATTACCTACATAAGGTTCACCATTCACATACAGATGCCAGCACCAGCAGTGGCAATCAAATGAACTACTGTTTTGTTCAGTATGATGACCTATGATATAATAATATAGTTTTCTGTTCAGGCACTGTCTCTCAAAGTGTTCCAGCAACATATTTTCCATTACTAATTATTTAGATTTATTTATTTGTGGTGCAGCAAAATATTGCATTGTTTGACGTCACAGGCAACCACATGTTCATATGTGTTGTTTTGTAACCCCACTGCAGGCTCCGCCCAGCCAGCCATATGTAAAGAAAGCCTTGAACACAGCATGGAAGCAGTTTTGTGTTGCAATCAATGTTCATTTGTGAATAACATTTTTTGTGTGATATTGTAACCTATTTCCGATTGTGAATACTTTTGATTGTAATATTGACAATATTGTCAACATTCAAACATCAAAGTTCTAACATCATGAGTTAAGAGGTAAAAGTGAAAGAAAGGACTGAACTCAGGAGCTAAAAACATGGCTGACTGGCTGAGGCTCAACCGATGATAATGTTAGTAAGCAAGTCATTTTATATGTCATTGATATCATTGTGGAACCAACATAAGCAACTAAGAAATTTCCCAGTTCAAATCTTTACAGATTTATTTATATAAATTTTTAAACTCTACATATTTGTAGAGGGAGTTGCGATTTGTGCATATTTTTGACTGTGATATTATCGACATTCTTTTGCAACAATGGCATGAACCATAAAGCTTGAAAGAGAAACCAGGGACGGAAGTCAGGGAAGCCTGGGCCCAGAAAGATGACTCAGCAATCAATGCAAGTGAGTCATTGTCATTTTTTCAATCATGGATGGCATTTTGCAAGTGCAATCAAGGGAAGTCATTAAGTAATTTCACAGTTCAATTCTTTTTTTTATAAAAATCAATTTTGAAACTCTACTGGGGTCTGGGGCAGTGTGGAATTCTGTATAGGTAATATATTCTCATGTCAATATAAGAGAACGTATCGAAATACCAACCATACCACCGCGTTACACCACCTTCCACTGCAATGAAAATTGATAAACTGAGCTCATTAGAAACTGCCGTGCTTCCGAAATCGCGCGTGGTTTGAAATCCAATCCCGTGTAGCCAACGACTAATCAAGTTAACTAGTCATTTATCTGTAGGCTAGCGGACACATTTTTGCAATGAATACGTTCTAAAATAAAAAAAAACACATCCAGCTTCGTAAAAAATTCTCACAATTGGACAACACCAACAAAGTTTTTGATATCACACAAAATTATGAGATAAACTGCTACTCTTTCACTGCATTTGTTCACATTGTGTTTTCTATGTTCATGTATCACAAGACGGTGTCACACACTTATGTTTTGGTTGTGTCTAGTTTGATTTCACAATAAATAGATTTGATTCACATTCCATTCTGAGATTTAAATTATTGAAAGTTTTTTTTAATTATAAAAACCTATTTATACATTCCAGATTTGAATTTTTTTCATTTTTTGCCCTATTATGTTGAATTTATCTTAATAAATTCACTTCAAATTCTGAATGATTTTGTCTGCCATCCCGCGTTTTCGAACGTTTTGTGTCTTTTAGAAAATTTTCATTGTTTAACATGGGAAACTATTTCATTATATAAAACATAGAGTACGTACCATATAGTGCATTAATAATACAATTTAATTTAATATAAATCAATTTTTAATTTAAAAAATACAATCAGATTTTTAATTCAACATTTTTCTAATAGAATTTAATTCTACAGCATGTACCATCTAGTGTAGGTACTGAATAATAAAATTTGACTTGGTAAAATTTAATTTTAATTAATTTTTTAATTTAATTTAATTCTACAGCTTCAACCGGTAAAAATGAGCATCATAGGAATCAAAGTCAAATTGTTGTTCATACATCACAAATTGATGGACATTGGATGGATTTGATAGGTATTTTATTAATCCTGTTTATATATAAGAACGGAAATGACGCTTCTATTTCAGAATGGTAATGGAAATGTTCCTACTATTTCAGAAACTTTTCTTGAATACACTTCTGAAAACTAAAGTTCTGTAATCAATGGAGTCTTTGAAATGACAAAATCGTTCAATTTAAAATTTTCAGCTACAAGAGTAAGATCATCATTTGTCAATATGAGGAGCATTCATTCGTCATTCGTGAGGAGCTGTAAGAAAAAATTTGTTGTTTTTGATGTAAAAGAATGTTTCTCAATTAAAAGAAATGCAATACTTGATTTTTGGAAATACGACGTTAAAATTAACGATCCGTATTAGAATTCAATAGACGTTACGATTTCAAAATTATCTTCAAAAAGTTTGTTTTCGTTTGTTTGATCAGAAGTTTTTGTTCGTTTGATCAGAAGTTTTTGTTTGTTTGATCAGAAGTTTTTGTTCGTTTAATCAGAAACAGAAAAAGTTTTCGTTCGTTTGATCAGAAACAACATAATTATTCATTCTCTTGCACTACGTATACGAATGATTAGTTGGACTCAGTTACCGTCCGCATTGATCATCCCGCTAGATTATGCACCGCCAGCACCGGGAGCGGGAAAGAAGCTAGGTACCTGTTTAATTCAGTAGCACGTTAGCCAACATGATATGTAGTTCTGCTCGTCTGAACTCTGAATTGCGTGTTTAGAATTAGTGTGCATGATGGAAAACTCTGCTTTGCAGCATAGTTATAATTACTTATTGAAGTTTAGTTCATTGAGGTCAATTTAAGAGACAAATTTTCAACTAACTAATTTTAATTGTTGAGTGAAAGGTGCAGGCTTAGTTTTTGGCTTACAACTTCCAAGTGATTAGGTACTTTATAGAAACTGAGAAAGTTAGCGTACGTGTTTTATGCCTTTAAGAAGTTCATTTTTTGCCTCAAATAACGATGTTGGTAACTTGGTAGAAAAAGTGGTCTTGGTGGATTGAAATAATATATGAACCTTCGAAATTAGAATTCCATCCTGGACTATGGGGGTAGAGACCAAGCTGGGTTTAGACTGGGCAGGGTTTAGACCGCCGCAAGTCGCCAAATGCTTGACCAAAGGCAGAGTGCCATAACTTGACTTCATAAGTACTTCCCTTGACCCTTCCTAGAATTTCACTATGATTATTCCAAATTATAAATGGGAATGAAAATTTCCCTATTATTTCAGAATCTCTGCCATGTGAAAAATTGAAAATTTTTAGTGTTTGTGTCATATGGTACTCATGATACTGTTCTTGAAAGTTGAATAAAGAATAGAATAGAATAGAAGTGTCACGCACTGTGGAATTCTAGAGGGATAATAAATTAACTAGTACACATACATAGCATATTGGAAAGCAGGACCTGAAAGCTTGGAAAGGCCAGGAACTTTACACTTTCAGTCTATTATTTACATATACTATCCCTTTCCAGAATTCCAGCTGTGATTGGTTGATAGGATTGTGATTTTAGCCCCTTTCAGCTTGCCAGCTGTGGTTGGGTAATGGAATTGTGATGTTATCTGCTTTCTAGCTGTGATTGGTTGATGGGGATGCTTTCAAGCTGTGATTGGTTGACTTGATGGGGATGCTTTCAAGCTGTGATTGGTTGATGGGGATGCTTTCAAGCTGTGATTGGTTGTGCCCATAAGCCCCGCCCCCAAGTATGGTATATGTACAGTGCTAGTTAACTAAATACTTGACTGAAACTTGATCATTACAAACAAAAGGCCTGGAAAATTTAAAAAATCCATTAAATAAAAGACAAATAAAAAATATCTATCAAACAAGTGACATCTAAATAATTCTTTTACAAATTTAATGTACTAGTATAAAATTGAAACATTTTGTCCACAGTCCACTTTTGATCCACCTTTTCATTTATAGTCACATTAGTCATTCACCTGGAAGAGCACTGTGGGAATGAGAAAGCTTTTCAGCTAGGGTGGCCCGGTGGAAAGCTTTTTAATAAGTGAACTTCCATTCTTAGAATTCCAGCCTGAGTGTCGGCGTTGAAGAAATAGGCCCATGGCCTGTTGCCGATTCTTGAACTTTTCGTGACTTGATTCACAAGGGATCCGGCCTTTGGAACCCGATCTTTCCATAAATGACGATTGATTGAGATAGCTGCTGCCTGCTGGACTTATTGCCTGCTCCGTAATTTGCTAGGCATTCTAAGACTGAACATATGCTCCTGCATAGCTTCGTCTATTCTGTTTTTGAAGATGTTCATACTCGGAGCTTAATAAATCGGAGATTAATGTAAATAAATATATACATTCAAATTTCAACATTGATTAAATAAATATATAAACATTCAATAATGATTAATACATAGGCTATTACATATAGATAAAAAATAGGTTTGCTATCTATAGAGACTATAGCTATATACTAAGAGCAAAAATTCTGAAAATGTTTCAGAAGATTTTACATAGCCTTATTTAACTAAGTCACAACTAAAAGTCTACAACATTGAAACACAAAAACCAAATGCCAATCGAATCTGTAGATTACGGTGACCACTGACAACTGACCATTGACCAACGACTAGCAGTGTCTAGCACCGAGTCATTCGCGTTCTTACCGACTAGCCTAGGTAGTCCCGAGTCGAGTATCGTCTGTATCGACACTCGACGTCGACAGATGAATAAAGTGCATAATACAGAGTAAATAGCAATTTGTGAAAATATAATAATAGATTAATGTTACATATGTTTCCCCAGGTGAATTTCGATACTCACACAGAAAATGAATTGAAACGGAAGCGAATAATTTGTCGGAGTGCCATTTCACAGGGCCGGTTTTGTTTAGATGTTATTGCTCGAACCGCTGCGTCCCTAGCTAAGAAACTTCTCACGACTTTTGATGAGCAAAATTGTTAGCGGCCGCGACGTCAATCTACCAAGTTGCTTACATCAATTGCCATTAAACGTTTGAATTTAAATCTGTATTATGTTTGCGACTACGAATATAGAAATCCGATGAACAATAGCAAATCCTTTCGCACACGGGCCACCAATGTATTGGAAGCGCATAATATCAAACACAACCATAAATTTATTTCCGCTTACACGAACAAACAAACTTGTTAGAGACGTTAAATTATGCTACAATTATGTCTTATTAGTAACAGGATCCGTAAGTATACGGTCACCGCTTAAACATTTCTCCACTTTATATATATAAAACATTACAGCCATTCATCCTGCCTATCACGTCTCTCCGATCAAATTAAATTTTCCAAAAACTTCTTATCATTTGATGCGGGAAGGTGGTGAGATGGTTATTGACAAGGAGAGCCATAGCTAAGCACAACTTCACTCTCAGTTCATATTCCTTTCTTTTGGTAGCACGCTAGTAGGCATTGTAGCTTATAAAATCAATTGCTGAAAACCAAAAGCGCTGTACGTGCTCAAACATACAGCGCTATAGCCATAGCGCTGAAGAGTAGTCCTGATGTGGCTTGTCGCCGATTATTGCACTTTTGCGACTTGTCCACAGGAGATCTAAAAACAGGTCCTTCGACCGGAACTTTTCCAAACTGTGTATTGTTTGAAATAGCTACTCTTTAGACTTCCACCAGGTCCGATATGGTGCTAGGCATTTCAAGTTTGAACATATATTTTTCCATAGCTTTATCTAGTCTGTTCTTGAACGCGTTTACACTCGGAGCGTCAACGATGTAATCGGGGAGGCTATTCCACATATCGATGATTCGAAGCGAGAAGAAATGTTGTCCCGTGGGCTGTGGATGAGTCGCATCACTCGCATGTCAAGTTGAGCATGGTCATATTGCAGCTAGTGAAACTTCTGCCGACCTAACCTGTTCAGCCCTAAGTTACACGCGTTGCAACATTTCTACACTCAAAAGAACCCTGAGCGGACCTAACCTTATTTGCTGCAGGAAGTTGAGGGAGGCGGATGGCGGAGCAGGTACAACATGAAATCATGATCACTTGTTGAAGTACCTGCTTTTGAGCGAGTATCTTAAATATTGGCTGACGACCTACGGTATTCCGTGTATTTTTTCACTTGTAGCTCTGAGGCTGAGGGTAGTTATTGCATACAGAGGCTGGGCTTTGGTTGTAGGGCTTCATTTAATAGTTAAATTTGTGGCCTACGACTGTGCCTCCTATGCTATCGCAGACAATATAACTCCTATAGTGCCAGGGCATGAACTGAACCTGACTTCTCATTGAACCCTCGGAATGTTAAATTCAACCATGCATTAATACTATTTTTGCTCGAATGTGCCCATAACTGTTCTTGCCCCAAGACCTAAAACCATCATATGAGTAATAATTCATAACAAATTTTTTTATAAGCTTACAATATTAACGAAAATACCTAGTCAATTTTCATCAAGAGATTGCTAAAGAAAGTGAAGTTTTTTCACCGAACGTCATAATTTTAGTGCATGTTTAGTTGTTTTTGTAGGCGTATGGAAGCCGATTCCATCCTGTTGTTGTTTCTGAAATATTAGAATAATAACTACTCCATTTCATTTGATATAAAATTTTTTTTTTTGGAGACCTGAGCTTTGCTACCTTTTGGTACTACTTGGAACTTCTTCATTTTTTAGTACTTAGTCCGTGTAACTACGTGTGTAAAACTGGTGGTAACTCGCGTGTATACCTCATTCTAGGACTGAAAGTCCTACAGTATACAGTATTGTTTACAGTATACAGTATTGTTTTCATATATTATCGAACATACATCCGCATTCGTAGAAATTTTGTTTTCTACATCGTAGCCACAGGCAAATACGGTGTACTGTCAACAAGCCGCGGCGTATCGCGACGGTCATGCCATCTGTTCCCAAAGCAATATCCGTTTCTCGACGCGTGTGCTGCAGGCGTGTCGAGCACATCGAGCTCAGGTTAACTCGCACTCTTCGATTCTTGGCTCTGTAAGTGACCCATTCGATTCAACTAACTTCGATTATTCAACTAATTCCTGAGGACGCTTTTTTATTTTGAAAATAAATAGCAGCAAGCCAAAGGGTTAGCCAAAGGTCTTCATTTTACACATTACGATTACGCTCGCCTCTACTGTCGAATACCTCAATATTTTCTGGCTACGGCGAGTTTAAATTCGAAAAATTGCAATTCCTTGTTTCAAATCTGTGATGAAAAACACTATATGACAGTAATCGCATGACCAAAATCTTGCGCATACTGAATATTGGGTGCGTGAACCTGCAGTCCTACCGTGCACATCGCCGCATGACCAATAGCCTGTACATGACTGTATGTCGTGGACCTGCAAGCCTACCGTGCACATCACCGCATGACTGAATGTCGTGGACCTGCAACCTTACCGTGCACATCATGCTCCGCGTTGACGGTACGCCGGGATATTCCCTAAAGGGCGCCCTCAGCCTGTCACTCAGCCATTATGGTGATGGCCTCACTTCGTCTCCAATGCAAATTCAAGGTAATTGTTCGAGCTCATGGCTGTCGACAAGCGCTGAACCTGATTTTTCTTACATGATTGAGTCATTAAATGACTTGTTCAGCAACGAAAATAATGAATCTACCTTAGCTAAGTTTGAATTAATGCGGCTCTACATTTGGAGCGATTTCAATTATAAAAGGTTCGATGACAGTTGGTTTGCATTTTAAATTATTTATAACTTCGTTCAAATGAAAAATTTAAAACTTAAAATTAAGTAAGCAGAAGTAAATAATTTTTGCTCACAATTTCTTGCGTTATCTTAGTCTGAAATTGTAAGCATATTCACAACTTACCGTCCAGTTTTGAAATTCTCTATTCATGGCAGATGAAATTCTCCATGGTTTGATCGTTCCTTATATCAAATAATGTGGCTTTGTATCATGCCGCAGAAACCAAGTAATGTCGCGTCAGCATGGACATTTTCTTAAGAAATTTGACATGGACTTTGAGGTCCGTTTTGCGTTTACTTTCAAAAAGCTTTTATTCAAAAGAATCCAATTTGCTTCTCATATCTGTCGACGCGAAGGTTATGAAAGTGTAGCGCAATAAAATTTTTTTAAATTGTTAAAACACGAACAATTTTTGTATTTTATTCTCAATTTTTGTATTTTATTCTTTTTTTCGAACAATTTGTATTTAATTCTCACGAACAATTTTTGTATTTTAATTCGTTTAAGTGAAGCTTGGACTACTGAAGTTTTATCTTAATGTTTCTGAATAAGAGATGATAACAGGAGGCTAATTTGCTCGAGCCTGAGCTGCCGTGAAATCATGAAATATTCTGTGTCAACACCGTGGATTAAATAAATATGTCTCGTGGAATATTGTAAGGAAAATACTAGCAGTATTTTAATGAACGGAAAGTAACGTTATGGCTCTCTTTGAACTTGTTAGTGGTAATTGAGAAGATTAACCAAAAAAATAATTTCCTTTCCTGCGAAGTTCGTCGGAATAAATGTTGTCATAATCCTAAAATCTAAATGAATGTGACTCCACGTTTATCACTTCTATCAGTTCGTAAGTAAATGGTTTTTTCCATGATTTAAATATTTGGTAGGAATGGCATCGTGAGGCTTAAATCTAATTGTCTTTTCCTTCGTTCCAATATTTTGGTAGGAATAGCATCGTGAGGCTTACATCAAATTGTCTTTTCCATCATTTCAATATTTTGGTAGGAATAGCACTGTGAGGCTTAAATCAAATTGTCTTGTCCGTCATTTCAATACTCTGGTAGGAATAGCATTGTGGCTTGTGTCATCAGCATAAACAAGGCGCGCCAGCAGCCAGCGCAAGTCTGGGGACGGCAGCAAGACTCTCCAGACGCCATCATAGAGCCACTCGCGCTCCTACAGGGAGACTTAAATATTCTATAATTAATCTAATTCTTTAACACTCTCAACCAAAACTCTCTAATTAATGTAATTTTCTTGCACTCACATGTAAAACTCTCCATTAATGTAATTATTCTATTCTCTCAACTAAAACTCTATAAATGGTTTAATTCTTAATCTCGTCTGAAGTAATACTTGATTTTTTCTCGACGATCACAAATTAATTTATTGCATCAAAACTCGATGCTACATTTTAATACATGAAAACAAAAAATGTAACATTTATAATTTTGAACGGATGATACAATAACCTGGAAGGAACCTGTATTCTAGTGCTGCAGCACAATAACATTTCTCAATTAAGAAACACTGTGCGTGAATTTTTTTATTTATATTTTTTTTGCTCCGAAGCCTTTTCGTCCATTTGACCGCATTTGTTCAACTGTTCAGCACTAAATTTTCAACCATTGACCGAGCTTACCATTCATTTATGATTAACTCAGTAAGCTATTGAATCGCTTCCTGCGCGATCATCAGGCACTGCCGCACAGCAGTGAACTGCACGTCACATTCAGAGCCTCATTTGTGCTGAATATTAGACGCTGGAAATGATCTCGTAAAGATAAGAGCAATAAAGCAGCTGGAGTGCAGCCTCTCCCCAACCACCCCCCATGCATGCTCCGACTTGACTCTTTATTTCGTTGTGGAGGTATTTAACCAATCGAATAATGATAGCATTTACAGCAAAATTGAATCTACGATGTAGTTATTAGTTTATGTTGAAGCATGTTTGCAAAATAGTTTTTTTTAATAGTCAAATAATTATAATAATAATTTTTTTAAATAATCAAATAATGATAGCATTTGTAGCAAAAGTGAATCTACGTTAATTGTAGTTAATTAGTTTATGTTGATGCATGTTTGCAAAATAGTTTTTTTTAATATTTTATGAATATTTCTAAATTACCATACTCCTGTTATTTAATGATGACTGCATTGTATTAGTTTATAAATGCAGCGTTTTACTGTCATGTGATATTTGGGTTTAGTCACAAG